CAGCCACTGGATGTTACACAGGGCCGAATTCCAGTCTATTATCAGATGTCCCGTCTGCCAGCAGGCTATTCATCATTCGAAGCTTCTGTTGCTGGCCCAAACACTGAGCAGTCTCTGCAGGAGAATCAGCTAGATCCTAAAGTCACAGCAAACGGGGTGCAAAGGTCTGCCGTGGGGGCGAAGGAAAGTGAGGCTGAAGGGCAGTGGCCAAGGACAACGGTAGAGTGCAGCACTGAAGGTACCTTCTTGACAAGCAGTCAGATTTTGAGAACTGAGATCTCTGTGCCATCTCAGCGGAGCACCCCAGATACAGACCTGGAGGTGCAGAGGGTGGTTGGAGTGCTTGCTTCCCAGGACTACCCTGTTTGTTCTGCTCAGCAGAAGGATGGCTTGAGTCCTCTAAACCTTTCCCATCGTAATCCCCCTGAGCAGAAGGCAGAGTCAATGAGGAACCCAGTGGAACTTGTGGTGGCTGCTACTGCTGAGAAAAGCCACTTTCGGAGACTGTCGGCAAAGTCCCCTGAGGAGCAGCTCCGCCATCGGCAAATACTGAAAGGCATTACAATGGCCAATGGTCGGCCAGTCTCAGGGTCCCTCCTTCCTGGGGCTCAGGATGGCCTGGGAGGTGCAAGTCCTGAGGGAACAGCCCATGAGGGACTACCTGACACGGAATGTGCCCATTCCCAGAGCCACTTACCCTCCCACTTCATGAAAGGAGCCATCATCCAGCTGGCCACAGGAGAGCTAAAGAGGGTGGAGGACCTGCAGACCCAGGACTTTGTGCGCAGTGCAGAGGTGAGTGGTGGCCTCAAGATTGACTCCAGCACTGTGGTGGACATCCAAGAGAGTCCCTGGCAGGGTTTCGTCACACTGCATTTTGTGGTGGGGGAGCAGCAGAGCAAAGTGAGCATCGATGTGCCCCCTGAGCACCCTTTCTTTGTGTATGGACAGGGCTGGTCCTCATGCAGTCCAGAGAGGACAAATCGGCTCTTCTCACTCTCCTGCCACAGGCTGCAGGTGGGAGATGTTTGCATCTCCATCAGTTTACAGAGTCTGAATGGGAGGCTTGTGCCCCAGGCAAGCCCCCAGAGTGCTACCCGAGAGAGACCTGGGCGGGGTGGGGAGAGTCTCCAGGAGCTGCAGAAAAACCCATTGGAGAAGGGTGGGGTGGCAGTGGGCTCCCCCCAGGAGTCCACCCACCATGATCCTGTTTCTCTGCATGGTTGGGCAGGCCCCAGCTTCCAAAGGTCTGGGGAGGAGCCCCGGCCACCACTCCTCCGCCCTTCATTCATTCCCCAGGAGGTCAAGTTGTCCATCGAGGGCCGTTCAAATGCAGGGAAGTGAAGCCCCAGTGGTGGGCGAACTTGTGTGCCACGCTTAACTGGGTTCCTTCCAGTTTGGCCACTGCTCAGATGCTCAGCCCTTTCCCCAGTTGTGTGCCTAGAATCATTCCACTGACAGAGGCTCCTTCTCTCCACCCCCTGTAGGGGAGGTCTGAGCCTGGGTAGGGTAGATTGGGGTCAGCCAAGGGGAGACTCTGAAGGAAGCAGTGACTGCGCTGCTTCTGTGAGGAGAGGAGCAAGGGCTCAACATCCCCCACCACCTCACTCAAGCACTTTATTGGACACTTGCTCACACATAGCAGGAGGGTGCTTTTACCAGGGCAAGGGAGCAGTGAGGGAGTTTGCCAGGTTTCTTCTGCTCGAGTCCCAAGTTAAGGATTATTGTCTGGGCCTCCCAGCAGCCCCTCTCCAGGCACCGAGTCAAGGGAGCCTGGATTTCTCCTCAGGGAGGTAGTATTTGTATGCAATTTCCTCACATGTGTTAGATTGAAAGGAAATGGTTAATAGTCTGTTAAATTGCAAACCTGGCAGTGTGTTGCCTCAGCTCTGCAGCCAGGTAGAACTCGAATCCCATAGGTGGGAATGGTGTAGGTGTACGTGTGAGAGGATGTTCTAGCTTTGGCTTCTTCAGCTATCTCCATCCTGCTCTTAAGTCCCCACCTCCATCTTCTAGAAAGGCTGCATCCAGTTCTGTTGCAGATGCCTTAGATGTTCACAGCTAAGCCAGGTCTGAATGGCCTAGGCTGTCTAAGGCTTGTCACAGTTGTGGATGTCTCGAGTTACAGCCAGCTCCTTTGAAAAGTGCAAGGCAGTTTGTATATAAGAGCATGCTAGTGCACATACAGACACTCCTGCTTTTCCTTGGGGTGACTAAAGCATTTCCTATTGAGAGTTTGGAGAGGGGACATTCTGGCCACTGTAACCAGCTTGAATGGCCCCTACTACATGTGTAAGATTTCTTTGGATATTAGAAAAATGTATTCAGGTTCTTCTGATAAAGATGAAAATTGCTCTTCTGTGTGCACTGGTGACTCAGACAGAATGAAAGAAGATAAAACGTGCAAGTGGTTAACAGTTTTTGAGCCGAGAAAGCTGTAGAACTGCTTGGGTTCAAGACGCTGGCTGAGTACCCTCTCCTGCACTGGTGCCCTCAACTCGGCAGGGGTGAGCTCTAGGGCTCTGAATCATAGCCGTGACTCTGCATCAGTGCCATCCAAGTCCCACTCCAGAATAGCAGCCAGGAAGCTCCTCCCACTGCTCCAAATGGGCAGCCTTGGCTTGTTTCCCTTGGATGTTTTGTCTACAGTTGTTGCTTTTAGGCCATTGCCTACAGGCATTCCTGGCTCACAACGGGAACTGCTTTCCTGTCTGACCAGCCACCTCATCCACTCCAAGCCCTCTCTATATGAAAGGTGGAAGACTTTGCTGTTCTCCTCTGGAAGGCCCGGCACTTTGCACTATTCCGAGCCAGGTTTCCCCGCAAACCACCCTCTGCCTTCCTTACTTGCTCTTGGGCTCCCCTGGATTGTGTGCTTACTAGACCAACGCTCATTTCCATGTAAATGCTGGCCTAGGTTTCTCCTTTGTCCTTCAGCTCCCCTGCCACCAGGGAGGAGATGTCTGCTTCATGCCATTAGGGCAGAGTGCCCTTCTACTCCCAGGGCTTCATGGGAGCTGGATCACTTGCACAGCATCACAGCAGAAGAGCCTGATTGGCCACCTCTTTCATTGGCACCAACTCTGGCCCTCTGTGGCTATTGAGGGTCAGTTCCCCTCAGTTCATCTGGACCGCCCAACACTACTGCCACCCTGGTCCAGTGCTGTTTCAGGATAGCTTGCTGCACAGCCCTTAGGGCCCAGGACCGAGTTAGGAATAGAGCTGCAAAATATGGAAGTGTCTTTGGGCACTACTCCATCTGGGGCCGCTGGAGGGTTGGGAGAACCAGCTTCCTAGAGCAATAAGCTATTTCTCTCTTGTGACACTACAGCACGACCCCTTTCCAAGCCCTAGTAAATATTTTGGGAAGGGCTCCCTAATATGCAATACTGTGGGACTGGCAGCTGCACAGCTGTGTCCATTTGGCCATTCCATGGGGTAGGATGGGGGCTGCTAAAAGAGACACGTTTCAGTGTGGGGTGCCAAACCAGGGGGTGATGAACTGGGGTCCTGCTTTTCAGAAGGGCACCAACCAGATACCCTTTCCAGCTAAAACGTTTCCCGTCCCTTCTTGCCAGCTGTTTCTGTAGCCCTTGCCTGCAGGAGCAAACATCCGCTTCTATTAAGTCCCACCTCTGCCCAGAAACACTGAGCGATGGCCTGACCCAGTGGCTTGTTGTAGAGAAAGTTCCTTTGCTATATCTCAAGATGCACTGAGGAAGAAAGCAAACGGAGTCAGCCTGCCACCCTTCAATCCCTTGCATAGCACCTTAGTTGGGGTGGGTCACCTTCCTGTATGCAGCTGGCAAGGGGCGAGTGTGTAGCAGCCCTGCAACCAACACCAGTCCTCTTCGCTCCAAAACCCACTGCATCGTATCTCTGAAGCCTTAGGACTAGCTGAGTGCCCAGCCCCTTTTCTCCTACCTGATCTTTAATGAAGCATTACCAATCTAAGGAGGATAATCTATTTTGTTGTGCTTTTTTTGTACCTGTTTTAAATAAATCAATTTGTACTGTATATTTGTATTTTGGGTGAGATCCTTTTTCCTGTTTTACCATTTAAAGTCTCTGTACACACAGATTGTATTTTTATTGTTAATGCTCTTATGAATACTGCATTTAACTTGTTGACTTATGTAAACAGTATATATACATATATCTATATCTATATATATATCTATATAATTATAAGCCAATAGCTTTTCCTTTGATGTGTCTGTGTCTTACTTGTCTCCTGGAGAAAATTTTGGCAGAAATACCAAAGCTCATAAAGGAAACTTCCTTACATTCATACGATGGTCACTAAAGCCCCAATTAGCAATCTTCACACTGGCACAATTAGCTCTGTTCTGTTGTGTAAAAAATTTAACAGGCTGCACATAGGTTTTATGATTTAAGATTAATAGAAGAGAACAGACCTGGCTAACAAGACAGAGATAACTTCTCCTCGCTTGTGCAGCCAAGTCTCTCCCTTTTACCTAGTTTGGAAGTTGGGCAAGAGACGACACAGGCTGCTGACCAAGAAAATAAATATACCCCTCAGCAGGGTCTTCCTCTAGCCTTTGTTTAGAAGTCTGCCTTTCACTGGTGCTCCTTCCACCACCATCTCTCTACGCACAAAGGCAAGAAGAGCAGCAGCACTCAAATCTAGCTGCTTTCTCCCTCCCCAACACATATCCCCCAGAATGTCAAATTCTTCCACAAACCTCCCATTTGGTGCTGCTGTACCTAAGTCTAGCAGCCACTATGATTAGGCCTAATACACCCCTGTGGGTAACTTGTGAGGCTCCAAGCCGTATTATACACCTCCCTCTTCAGGACTCCACCTTCTTTGCTAGTCCCCACTTAAGAGCTCCAGCGTGATGTAGTAAGGGGCAGGCTACAGAACTGCAAAGTTCCAGCTGGATCTTGCCCAGCACGGAAGCAAGCTGGGCAAGGCAGAAGCAGCAGCTGCCTCTCAAGCTGCTGCAGTGAATTGGCCAAGCCCAAGAGGCACAGACTGAGGACATGTACAATTAATTTATTTCTGATCACAGCCAGTGCGCCCACCCCTTCCTCCCTCCCTGCCCCTCTCAGACCGTTGTCACACTCCAGTTCCATGCTTCACTGGCGGAGCAAGTGGGGCCTCAGCAGACAAGAGCAGGTCCTCCTTTTTACCCTCCTCAGTGCAGGGCACTGGGACTCGGCTCCTCAAAGGCCATTTTACCAAGCAGCTGCCCCTCAAGCTCTAGCCCACCCACTGGCAGTGGGAAGAAGTTCATCTCGGCTGCCAATGCAGCCATGGCCGAGGGGTCCTGGCCAAACTGTGCCCGCAGCATCATGTCCATTTTCTCCAGCCGCCGCTTTAGCCTCTTGGCTTCACGCTCCCGGATGAGCCGAGCCTGCCGCTTCTCAGGGGTCTCGTTGGCCCGCTTGAGGCGCATCGCTTCACGGTCCCGCTGCAGGCGGCGCGCACGCTGCTCGTCCGTCTCCTGCATACGCTGCAGCCGCTTGGCCTCTCGATCCCTCATGCGCCTCACCTCCCGCTCCTCCGGCGTCTCGTTGTCTCGACGGCTCTTCTTAGCTGTGCGCTCTCGCTCCAGGCGCTGCAGCCGCACCTCCAGGGGCTCGTTCTGCCTTCGCAAGGCCCACTTGCGAACCCCTGGAGCTTGAGCTTCCAGAAGCTTGCGGTAGGCCACGCAGCTGTTGCACACCAGGAGGATGCCAGCAGGATACACTGTGGGGCTGACAGCAGCAGCAGCACCACCACCGGCTTTTTCCTCAGCACCAGAAGAAGCCTCAGGGAGGGGAATGGGCAGGGCATCTCCACACAGCACCTCTGACACCTTCTCACTGTGAAAGTCAAAGAGTAGAAATGACGGGTGGTCGGCACAGATCTTAAGAAGCCATTGTGTAGGCTTGCAAGCTACTGCCTTAGCTGTAACCCTCCCCCTCCCTCTGGCCATGCTTACAAGCCACCCCACCCACATGAATGCTGGCCTGCAGAATGCTTCTGGCTGGGGTCACCTATTCCAGCTGCCTCCAGAAATTGCCAGGTATAACCTCCATTGCTTCCATTGAACAGGGCCCCTCCAGGACTTCCAAAATGCGGCCTGGGCCACGTTGTCCCAGTCCCACCCTCAGAGATGCCCACTTCTCACCTGTTGAAAGTAGCATGGCTGGTGAAGCGAGCCCCACACACCGCACAGTTGGACAGTTGGTCCTCGGAGTGGATGAGGAGGTGCCTGCCCAAGGAGCCCGGGGAGCTGAGTGCTCGGCCACAGACGGGACACAGGTAGCTCTTGGCACTGACCACAGCTGCCGTATGCTGCAAACGAGGCCGGGCTGTGAGGCAAGGGCTCCGCCGCCCTGTCCCCCTCTCAGCTGTCCCTATGAGGGCTGGCAGCCAAGGCCAAGCCACGGAAGAGCTCCCTCTTCTGTTAGGGAAAAAGGAGAGAGACCCGCAAGGCCTTCCCTGGGATGTGGTGCAAACCCACCAGGGGGGATGATTCAAATCGCATCCAATGCCAACAGCCCCTGCCCCCATCCCCACCCTTTCCCAGTCCAGGATTACTAATTTCAGCCTGGAAGGAAAGGGGGAGCTAGGGCAGGGATGGTTTAGCCTTGCGTGATGGTCTCATCAAAGCCCCATCTAAGTACCTGATAGACATGAGTGACAAGCTGCTCCCTGCTTCCACACTCTAGCTGGCAGAGGGGACAACGGGAGAGTCCCATCAGGGTATCTGGGCTGGCATTTAAACCCATCTGCAAGCAAGGAAAGGCAGGCTAAGGAAAGAGCAGAGGACAAGACCCATGCCTGGTATTCTGCCACACGCATACACATACCCCTCCCCCCAACTAATGCTGCACCAGACCCTTTAAGACCATGTTGACGGATTCTCTACAATGTAAGATTAGCCCTGCGCAATCAGATTGAGGGTCTACCTAGTTGTGTATTGTATTTCTAACACACAGCAGCCAACCAAATGCCTCTTCTGGGAAGCCCAGAATGAGATGACAACAGCTCTATCACTCCCCTTGCCCCCATTACTATTAGGGAACTCTAATGCCAAAAAGTCCAGACCCAATCACTTGAGCCTGCTGTAGTGATCACTTGGACACATCAATGGACCAGGCCCAGGAATCCCAGAGTGGCCTATACAGTCCTCTTTCTCCATGCTAGGGCCATCCAAGAGTCTGCTATTGCTATTCTCCCTTCCACCGAGTAACCACAGCAGTGTTGCACTTTTGCTTTAGTATGTGTTGACTACGGCCAATGTGATGCACTTGCCTCATGGCCTCGAGCGACCTGCTTGCTGCAGCCCAGCTGCTCAGTAAGTTCCAGTTCCTTTTTCACTGTCGCTGATGCTCCGTCCTCCTCAGAAGCATGGGAGGAGACCTCATCTTGTGTTGTCTCATCCCCCTCGCTATCACCTGGAATACAGAACAGCTTTAGGCCTCTGCCACAGACCAGCTGACAGGATTCCAAAGCAGAATGCAGGTGTTTGGTCTCTCCCAGGTGTCCCAGAGCTGCCCTCATGTACAAGATGGGGAAACTCACTGTTGCTGCTGCTGCTGCTACTGCTGCTGCTGGAGTCCTTGTCTTGTGGCGGAAGTGGCAGCTGCTGCATGAGTGGTGACTGGGCTCCAAGCAGCCCAGGGAAGTCTCTTCGCATCATGGCCTGACGTGTGTGCTCTTCTAACCCAGCAAAGACTTGCTCCCCTGGAAGTACAATGGGGGAGGAAGAAGCCGCATTAGCCCATTGCCCTTCCCAAGCCCAGTCATTCCTTGCCCCCTCCTCAGATGCCCAGTGATGGTCTCCCCTACCTGAAGATGGCCCAGAATGGGACTAATGCCTGGGCTCCATTCCCCAAAACAGCTTTCCCCAAACCCTTCCTGCAAAGCAACGGTGGCCTGACCAATCCGTCCCTTCGCATCCTTTCCAACATGACCTGGAAATACAAATGTCTTCAGCAGCATTAAGCACACAGGGAGGGCTCTTGCCTGCCCTGGCTCCGCCCTAGAATTTGCATGTGCTCTCCCACCCAGGGACGCGGACTTATAAAAAATATTGGGGGGGCCCGGGAAAGCTCATGAATAATAAATAAGCTCATGAATATGCAAATAAAGTGGCTCCGGCCCTAAATAGGGCAAGCCACGCCCCCCAGCCAGCCGATTGGCTGGCTGGGAGGTGTGGCCAGTCGGGATTCCCCTGTTCTCGCGGGGGCTGAAACCGCCAGGAGGAAGGAAATTCCCCCCGGCAGTGCCTTGGCAGTGGCGGTGGTGCTGCGAAGCAGCGAGGCAGGAGCCCCCGCCCCCGGCGCCCGAGATTATTGGGGGGGCTGAGCCCCCCCAAAAAATTTTTTGAGGGGGCTCGAGCCCCCTCAAGCCCCATGGAGTCGGCGCCTATGCTCCCACCCCCGGGGCCCATATTTTGGAAGAGCTTGTCCTGCCATACAGGTTCTCCTCCAGGGGTAAAGATGTTACATGTGTGTAAAAGATGCTTTAGTATAGGCAATAGCAAACCTACTTATCTACTTTTGCAAGCCAAATTTGTGGTGGGAGACTTCTGTGGATTTTGTAGTCCAGGTTTAGTTATCTGCTTTAGTTCCTCCTTGATACGTTTTCTCTTAAGTTGTGCAAAGTGGGCAGTGCTTGCCTGAAATTGCCAGACTCTTTCCTGGGCCTTTGCTATTTCAATTCTGATCCTAAAGCTATCATGGTGCCTGGAAGTCCTCTGTTCCTCATTGTGCAAGGGAGACTAGCCAGCCATTCCCAACTAGTGCTGAAAAGCTGTTCATTTGCAGAAGAAACATCAGTGGGTAAGGTGGCCCAATGAGAGACAGAATGCCACTAGAATGTACCCCAGAGAATGCCCCAGAGTACCTAAGGAGCCCTTAGGCTCCAAGAGGTGGTACGTGGACATGTCTCAGCTCAGCCAACAAATCCTCGATGCTGGGCAGGGAGTCCCCACCAGGGCTATGGGAGAAGAATGCAGCAAATAGTGTCCCCCCCCATCATTTTGCGGATGAGGATGCCTCGCTTGAGCGGGGGAAGGGGGGGAAGGTGGAAGTGACAACAGCCCCCCTCCCCTTATTACTCACAGTGGACTTTATTGGGGGTAGTCTGTTTCCGACGGGACATGGTTCCCCCCCCCCGGGGGGCGCACCTGCGGAAAGAAGAGCCCTGTCACCATGCGGGGGATGACCAGGGTAGGCGAGCAGGGGGCGTTTAGAGATCAGCCCCCACCCCGCGCTCGAAAGGAGGCTGCCGCCGCCTCGGCCCTTACCTGACTCCGTCGCCCGGCCTGGACTCGCCCAGCAGCGCTGCAGGAGGACAAAGGGCCGCCCGGGCTGGCAGACAGACAGACAGAGGAAGATGGCGGCACGGCGGGAGCGCCCGGCTCGTGCACGGCGGGACCGACGGACAGACAGGCGGACGGGGGCGCGCTGCGCTGGAGCCCTGCCCTCCCCTCCGAGCGGAGCGCGCCTCCTGCCTGGCAGCAGGGGCGCCGATCCCGAGGCCGGCGCAGGCGCTCAGCCGGGAGGGGGTCCCGCAGCCATCAGGCCGGCGCCTCCGGGGGCTTCACGCACCCAGACCAGCCAGCAGGGCCAGAGTTGTGTCTTTCGGCGCTCTCCACGGGCCCAGCTACCGAGGAGGAGGAGCAGGAGCAACTGCTGCTGCTGCAACCCGCCTGCCTTGCCCCGAGTCGCCTCCTTCCACGGGGCCGCTTCTCCTCTTGTCGGAGCAGCGGCGCCGCGGTGCTAGTGGCGGGGCTGCCGCCGTCCCCGCCTCTTTTCAAGCCACGAGCAGGGGGACCCGATTGACGCCCTCGTCATGCCCTGCAAGGTGCCCGGCCATTCACGCGAGCGCCCCTACAGCGGGAGGGCTCCAGTCTGCCGCGCGACGCCCCCGGGGATGGGAAGCAGCTCGGAGGGAGGGGGGCAGTGGGCGGGGCCGCCGCCTCTTCCTCCTCCTTCTCCGACGTCGTACCCGACGAGGTCGGAACTCTCCAGCCGCGGTTGAGAGCTATGGAGGGACCTCAATGAAGGTAACGCTCGCTTTAGGAAGTACGACTTTTATTGAGGTCCCTCTTTCTCCGGAGAGAGATCCCTCCGCCCGTAAAGTAGTTCCGTACAAACACAAAGCGCCCCGTGCGTCGCTGCACTGTGTCTTGGAGAAGCCGCGTCGCAGACAGAGGGCCGGACGCTGCTAAGAACTACGACTATTGCTTTTGCTACTGTCGCTGTCGCGCACCACCTCCTCCTGAAAAGCAGAGAAGAGACGTATCCCTCCGCCTGCCCAGCTGAGGCTGGACCCGTGACGCCGCCGACGCCACCTTCGCTGCCTGCCGGGACAGACGGAGACAAAAAGACTCCCGCCCCCGGGTAAGGCCGTCCCGGCTGACCGCCTTCGCTCGGCTCTGCGTTTTCCGGGGAGCGGGGCCGTTGCCCTCCTTGGACGACTCGAGGTCCTGGTTCCCGCCGCCCTCACAAGCCTCCCCCGCCTTCCCGGTCGCCTTTCGCCCGAGGAACGGGCCGTGGCAGGAAAGGGCCCCGGGAAAGGCGAGAGAGGCCCGGAGGGGCCGCCGCCTGAAACTGCCTTCGGCCAGCCGGTGGCGGGAGGCGCGGGCGAAGAAGCGGCGCTTCCTGGTCCGCGGCTGGCGGGCTTGGCCTCTGCCCAGACTTCCCTTCCGGCTCTTGCTCCTGCCGCTGGCCGGGAATGGCTCCTCCTTGGGGCCTGTAGCCACATCGAAACTGGCTGTCTGGGCCACGGGTCGGGCGGCGCTCGTGTTTCGCCTTTGGGGTCTCTGAACCCGGAGCGGGCAGCTGCCTGTGTCTAGCCGAAAGCGAAGCCGTTGCCGGAAGAAGAGTTGAGAATTGCCTTCGTGCCTCTGGAGTTCAACTACCTGCAAACTCCCCCACCCTCTTGGAGCAAATCCTCCACCAGCTTCCACATAGGTGGGAGCTGAGCTCTCTACCGCTTCCAGTGCTGAAAAGCGGGGCAGGTTTGTCCTCCAGGGATTGAAACTGGTTAAAGAGATCCAAGGTTGTGAGCTGCCCCTTGTGCTGTATATGGTTGGGCCTGGCTGATCAAATCATGTACAAAAGGGGAAAAACCCAGAAATCTGTTGCTTGCACAGATGGAAGTGCTCTACACATACATACAGGGGGGAAAAACACACACACACAAAGCATTTCTTAAATAGGTTTTGCCATACTGTACTATTACACACACTTGAGTCTGTATGGGCTCTGTTTAAAAATGGCTGGCATTTATAGTCTATTCAAACATTTATTCTTGCTGTATACGAAAATTCGCATTAAAATTACTTATATTTGCTTGTTTGCTTTATTATATATTTGCAACGGAGATAAAACATTACAGCTCGCAACCTTTCCACATTCAAACCAATCCAGATCCTGAGATCTGAGACCATTCACTGTCTGCCTCTCCAAAAGATGTTTAGCAGGTAGCAACAAGAGAACAGATCCCCCCCCCTGCTCCAATTGTGAAATGCTCCAGCACCATGCAAAAAATAAATTGATTAATTTAAAAAATGTCCAGTGGCACCTTAGAGGCTACCTAAGTTTGTTCTGGGTATAAGCTTTCATGCACATGCACACTTCTTCAGATACCTACGAAACCTTATACCCAGAACAAACTTAGCTGGTCTCTAAGGTGCTCCTGGACATTTTTATTTTTTATTTTGACTGCGTTAGACCAACACAGCTACCTACCTGAATCTAGAACCATGCAAAAAAGTTATTCTCAGCATTTGGACAGTGCTGATGATTGAGATTTTTGAGAATACTGGTGTCCTTCTTGTGCAGAGCAGGGAATATTGTGTTTAGATTAATTTTTGAGCACTTTTGGTGTTATATATTTGTATCACTTTTTTGAATTTTAAATGTATTTTGTATTTTATTCTAAATAACTCTGGAATGACTTTAAATGTGCAAACCAATATATAAATATTACAAGTAGAATATATCTATACAGGAAACTGCTAGCTGTCTGCCTTTAACACACATGGCAGTAGGCTTTTTCTCTCTTGTATTCTTGGCAGGAATTCTACACCATGTTAGGCTCTGGGTTCAAGGCCGAGCGCTTGCGAGTCAACCTACGTCTTGTCATCAATCGCCTCAAACTGTTGGAGAAAAAGAAAAGTGAGTGGACTTTCCTACCTAATTCCTTGACCTCATCACCAAAGCAGTGATTCAGGAGGTTTCTAGTAGTCGTGGTGTCCTACAACACCATGTGCAGGCTATAAATTAAGAGATGCTTAATTTATAGCCTGCACATGTTGTTTCAGTGTATCTGAAGAAGTGTGCATGCACACAAAAGCTTATACTACTCAGTTGGTCTCTAGGGTGCTACATTATAATTTTTAAATTCTTTTGGAAGGATTCTTTTAAAGACTTTCTTAGATCATATAACTTTTTTGAAGACTTGATTTTTTAAAGGGAGTTTTTAGGTTTTTAAGAAGAGTCTTTTTAACTATCTTTTAAAAGAATTGTTTTAATTTATTTTGACATGTCAGAGTTTAAGTGTGGAATTGCTTGTGTGTGTGTGTACTGTATTTCAAAGATGCTGAGAATTGTGGTCATTGGGATGGGGGTGTGGATTCTGTGAAGAGTTCTTAGGTTTGTGGACTTGTGTCCAGTTCTAGCCCCACTATACTCATTGAATGGACATGGTTACTTAATTTCAATATGTTTATTCTGAGTATATCGTATTTTTCGCCCTATAGGATGCACCGTCCCATAAGGCGCACCTAGTTTTTTGGGGGGAAAAAAAGGGGGAAAATGTATTTTCCCCCCCCAGGTGTGGGGCGGGGGCAGGGGAAGCCCAAGCTTCCCCCGACCCCAGCCCCCAGAACAGGCAACTCTCCACAAGCTGTGGGAGCCCAGCACCGGGCTCCCGCGCCTTGCGGAGAGCTGCGCGAAGTCTGGGCGTGCTGAGCTCAGCGCACCCAGGCTTCAGCATGCAGGCAACTCTCTGCAAGCCATGGGAGCCCAGCGCTGGGCTCCCGTGCTTTGCGGAGAGCTGCGCGAGGCCTGGAGAGTGAGAGGGGTCGGTGCGCACCGACCCCTCTCGCTCTCCAGGCTTCAGCGAAAGCCTGTGTTCGCCCCATAGGACGCACACACATTTCCCCTTCATTTTTGGAGGGGAAAAAGTGCATCCTATAGGGCGAAAGATACGGTAACTTAGTTGGAGATAACCCACAGGCCTTCTTGGTGGAGCCCCTCTCTTTGCATACACAAACACCCCAGGCAGGGCCAGGGCAGGCTTGTGGGCCTCCCCTGCTGCCCCATGATGAATCCTTTTCTTGCAGCTGAGCTAGCCCAGAAGGCACGGAAGGAAATTGCTGACTACCTGTCTGCTGGCAAAGATGAGCGGGCTCGCATCCGTGTGGAGCACATCATCCGGGAGGACTACTTGGTGGAGGCCATGGAGATCCTGGAGCTCTACTGTGACTTGCTTCTGGCACGCTTTGGCCTCATACAATCTATGAAGTAAGGTCTTGGCCTATGGGGAAGAGGGTGCTGGGTGCCTGCCACGTGTCCCCTCCCCTCGGTCTGGGACCTATTTGTCCTCCTTGTCTTTCAACTACTTGTTCACTCTTGCCTTACTTTGTGTCCCTTCAGGGAGCTGGACTCCGGCCTGGCAGAAGCTGTCTCCACCCTCATCTGGGCTGCCCCCCGACTGCAAGCGGAGGTGGCTGAGCTGAAAATGGTGAGTAGTGCCAGTTGTGTCTTGGCAGGCTGCTCAGCCTTCCTGGACATCTGGGGGCAGCAGTTGGGGAAAGACTTTGATCTATCCTCACAGGATGCTCAGAGAACCTGGTGACTTTCTTGTTTGATCTGGGAGTTTAGGTTGGCTCCAGTCTCCAAACTCCTGAACCTTTTGTCCAGGGGTGCTGCGATAGTTGCTGTGCCCTGTCTTAAATAGAGGGGAGTCAGTGGTGCCTGGACTCTGTTTTGAGTGTGCCATTTCCATACTAGGTTGCTGACCAGCTCTGTGCCAAGTACAGCAAAGAGTATGGCAAGTTGTGCCGGAGCAACCAGATTGGGACCGTCAATGACAGGGTGAGTGGAATGGGAAGGGCATCATGGGGGTGAGATGGCGGTAAGGCTCTCAGAAGCTACTAACCACAATGGCTACGTCTTCCTCTGCTGTCAGAAGTGATCTGCTCCTGAAGTCAGTTGCTGGGAATCGCAGGTGAAGAAGAGCACTGCTGCTGCTCCACTCAGGGGCTTCTTGTTGGGGCATCTGTTTGGCCACTGTGAGGACAGGATGCTGGGCTAGACAGGCTGATCCAGCAGGCTGTTCTTATGGGAGGGAACGATATCAGTGCTTCATAAAGATGAGTTGTTTGCAGCAGGTGGTCCTGCCTGTGGTTTGGCTTGGATATCTCTTAGCTAGGTAAGTGTTCTTGACCTGCCCAGCTCAGTGAAGGGCTCACTCTTCCCTCCCTCCCTTCCAGCTGATGCACAAGTTGAGCGTAGAGGCACCTCCCAAAATCCTAGTGGAGAGGTACCTGATTGAGATCGCAAAGAACTACAACGTGCCCTATGAGCCAGACTCTGTTGTCATGGTGAGTGACTGGGAGGCGGTTCCACTCTCAATTCCCTCAGTAGCAGCTCCCTTTCCCACATGTGACATCAGCTTCTTCCTCTTCCCAGGCTGAGGCTCCCGCAGGCGTGGAAGCTGACCTGATTGATGTGGGATTCGTGGATGATACAAAGAAAGGTGGCCATGGAGGTGGTGGTGGCGGCGGCTTCATGACCCCAATGGCTGGTCCTGATGGAGTTGTGCCAATGCCAATGCCCATGCCCATGCCGTCTCCAGCTCCCCCTTTTGCATACCCACCTCCAAAGGGACCAGTAAGTCCTGTGTCTTGCTTGAAACAGGAGGGGAGTCTGTAAAGTTGGGATTGGGGGTGGTAGTGGGGGGAGGGGGAGGAAAGGATAGCAGTCTACTGTGGTGAGTTAGCATCTGAGCACACCTCACTACCTGCTGTGTGAACAAGGTTTTCCAGCTGTTCTGGCAGGTATTGCCTATCTGATTATGCCATTAGAAAGGGATGCTGGTCTGACTTAACAATTTCTCCCTTTAGGAGCACTTCAACGGGCTACCGGTGGGCACCTACCAGCCTTTCACCAACCTTCACCCACCTCAGATTCCAGCAACACCTCCAACATATGAGTCTGTAAGTACTGCTGATGAAAAACAAAAGCTGAATTGCTGGGAGGGCAAGTCCTCTCTGCTGGGACTGTTGCTGTCCCTAGTCTAGTGCTGGGTATTGGCAGGCCTTCCCACTTGGACTGACTGAGGAGTTGCCATCCACTGGATTTGAGCTTGCAGCAAACTTCATGCACCTTTGATATGATTTTGATTTATTGCATTTCTATGTTGGCTTTTCATTCATTCATTCTATGTTGCTTTTCATCTCAAAGCAGCTTACAAACAATAAATAGCCATAACATAATAAAACATACTAGCATGTCGCAAATACAGCATACATCATATAAAATAATTAACAAATTATCAATAAAACAGTGGCAATCTATAAAAAACTTAACAAAACAGCAACTAAAAAATAAGCTAAACCTCACAATTACAGCAAGTCATGTGATTAACAAATCAATTCGGCATTTAGAATCTATAAAACAATATTAAAAACATTAACAAAATAGCAATTAAAAATATAAGCTAAGCACTAAGTTCATTCACACAGTCTCTGTACCCCCATGACTCATAATCTTTCACTCTGTTCAGTTCATTAAAATACACATAAATGCACATAATGCCAGATGTTGCACTGGCTGGGGTCCTCGAGTAGTAGGCCATGGTGGAGATGATGGGGCTCTTAGGCCTACCGCCAGTGGTAAGGGGGATGTTGACTGCCTAGGCATCGTTGAGGAGAAACTTGCCCAGGTCACTTTCAATAATCAGGAGTCCCATTCCCACTTGAGGAAGTCCAAGACAAGCCTGTCCCTCTGGAGCAGCGAGTGGCAACTGCACTTGGTTTAGAGGACGACCAGGAGGTCCAGCAGTGGCCCTGCAGCCTGTCCACCAGGAACTGCTCCAGCTTCTTCAGCCACACCTTGGTTGACGATGTGGTGGTGGAGGAGGCAGCCGCTGAGGGGATCGAGCAGGCAGCTACTTGAGTCTACCAGGAAGGAAGGAGGGGCTGTGATAATGATACCAAGGGAGCTTCAGCATGATCTCAGCAGCCTGGATGAGCTTGCAGGCAGTGACTCAGAGGTCACCTTGGTCTCAGAGACCAGGCTGCTGCCCATGGAAAGCATGAGCGGAGGACATTGGCCAGCAGGGGTAGAGGATGAGATGTGGGGGTGGGCTGAGCAGCTAGAGAGTGGAAATGGGGATGTGTCCACCTTCATGCCCTTTCGCTTGTTCAGCTACTGCTCTCCAGGCTTCTGTGGTTGCTGGTGGTGGTGCTTCATGTCAGAAGGTGAGACCGCCAGCGATGGTGAAGAGCTACTGCACCGTCAGGCAATCCTTGGGGGACATAGCCAGGGCTGCTTGCTAGTCAGGTAGTCAGCCATGCTCAGCAGCTCTCCCTCACCTATGGCACCACCAGGCCAGGCTCACCACCACTGCTTCCTCCTCCAGATCCCTCATTTCCTCCTTCCTTCTGCTGTCTGGTCAGGCTGCATGAAGAAGATGGGAACACCAGATATGGTGCTTCTGCTGTGCATATAGGCCTCTAGGGAGTTGTCAGGTGGTGGTTCTGTGTGGGGTGCTCCATGCAAAGCCCGCTTTTTTCTGTTTCAGATTGATGACATGGGTGCTGACAAGGAATTGCCATCCCCACAGGTGACCGGTGAGTGCAGGGCCGGAGGGGGAGGCTGTGGAGCTGGCAAGGCAGTGAGGAGGGAGGGAGGTGGTGATGTCAGGGGAAAGCTGGTGCTTGTGTTTATAGTTGGTCCCCTTCACTCGAGTTTGCTCTTGAGTTGCTGAGGGAGGGGTGTGTGTGTTGGGGGCAGAGACTAGGACTCTTCATGGCAGAGAGCTTGGGCCCCTTTAGCAACTGGTAGGAGCTGCAAGGCTCAACTGAAGTGCAGCAAGTGCTCGCTTCTGCAGGACATATACGAACTGTGGTACAGCAAAAAGAAGAACGGTCCTACCCCTGCCCCTACTACTGTTAGGTAGACTACTGTTTTCGCTGCCTTGAGCCTGCCTACTGCTTGTAACCAGCCACTCTTGTCTGCTGCAGGACCAGCCCCAAAGCCACAGCCGAGGGGGAGGCCACCAGCTGCAGTTCCTAGTTCGGGCGATAATTTTGTGCTGCCAGAGTTGCCATCTGTGCCAGACACGCTGCCTGCCGCTTCTGCTGGTGCCAACACTTCCGCCTCAGAAGACATTGACTTCGATGACCTCTCTCGAAGGTTTGAGGAACTGAAGAAGAAAACTTAAAAAGAGCCCCTGAACAGGGGGCCGATGGGCCTGATTGCTGCCTCCTCCTTCCCTCTTAGCACGGCCAAGTGCTCGTTCCTCTTCCTCCGCTTGGCCTTTCTTCCTTCTGTACTTACACCAAATGCCACTGCTTTTCTGACATTCTGCTCCAGGAGTGGGGGACTGCACAGCCTCTTTGAGATGGGAGCAGGAACAATCCCTCCAAATGCATTGCTCTGCAGTCTGCAGCCGGGCATTAGAGGGGAAAGGGAGTGATGTAGGTGGCCTCTCATTTGGACAGACAGTGGTGTAGGGACACCAACCTGAAGATTCTGGGCAACGTAGTTGGACAGAAGCGCGCCCCCCCCCTCCAGGCATGTGCTGTGGAAGGGGAGCTGCTCTGGGCCCCTGATAGCTTTGTTTTGCCTGCCGCGTTCTCAGGGAGCCCTTCGGGGCCATTATGACTTTCCTTTGGGGAGGGATGCTGTGGGGCACAGGAGTTGACCAGTCTACACTCCTCGTGGCTCAGTGGTCCTCCTGCCTCTGGCTTGCAGAGCAGCAGGCACATTTTCCTAGCTTTGAGTGAGCCCAGTTCTGCCTTAACGTGGCTCTGCATCAGGCTGTGTTCAGGGCCATTGCTTGACATGTGCCATCACTCCTGGTTCTCTAGCCTCTTCCCTTGCCTATAGGGCAAAGCCATGGGTGGTGGTGGTGACAGCAGCAGCAACACATCCAGCAACTTCTGCTGCTCTTACAGACCAGCTGCAGTGCCAGCAGCCAACCTCAGCTCTCCCATGTAACACTCTGTATGTAACTCTTTCATGTGGCTTTTCTGGGACAATTTGATTGGTTTGTATCTTCTCTATTAATTCTAAATAAAGTTGAGGAATAGCCTTGACTGGATCTGTCTCAAGTGAAACATAACATTTCCTGGCTTCTGGCAGTGGTGGAGGGGAAGCAAAGGAGGCATGGTATGTTTACAACATGGAGGGGCAGCTGCCACCAGTTCTTATCATGGCCGTTCCTTCAGACTGACAGTCACACTTCCAGTCAAACAAGGAGTACTATTTATTGAGGGAAGGGGAAATATTGGCAAAAAGGAGCATGCAAATGTGTTGCCTTTACTTTGGCTTCGCAGTTATATTTTGGAACAAGTCCTATCAGTTTGGATCGCACACCTGAGGATCTGCAGTGCAGCCCACAACCACCGCCCACAGGCGAATTTATGAGGCTCCCTTTAGACTTGCTTCCCACAAGACATTGTGGTTGGTGGCAGCAGGGGCAGCTTCAGAAGAGCGGGCCACCTGTCCTGCAGGGCACGGGGAAGTGCCTGGGTGCTGAAGCAGCTGTCCTTCTCTGCAGTGATGTGATAGAACTGTCAGGCTATCATTCTTGAGAAATTAGCCCTTGTAGGATTTATGCTGACCTTTACAGGTTGGAGCAGGGGGATGAGTGCTTTCTGCTTGGGCCAGGCTGAAGGGTCCCCTCTGGATTAAGGTAAGGGCTGCTTAAGGATCCTTGCATCTTGGAGGTTGGCTGCCTTTAAGGAAAGGCAGGATTGGATTCCTGTCATGGATTTGATCTCTCCCACTGGGCAAACTGAGCTCTCTGGGTGGGGAGGGGCAATAGTCACACTTCTTCCCCACCCACCCTTCTATCTCCTCCCTCTGGTTCACCTTGAAACAGTGTATCCTTTGTGCATCTCAACAGACCCACCTTTGTCATATGAGTTCTTCAAATCTGTGGCTGGGTAGGGGAGTGTAATCTACAATTCCCTGTTTGTCTCCTCAGGGGTTAAGCCCTGCAATAGGTAAAGAGTTCCTCAGCGACATGAAAAATAACTTGATTTGTAAGGCTTAATTGATGTTAAGCACCACTGAGTATTTGGGATTGGCTATAAATAAGAACAGCCCTCCTTTGCTCTGCCTCTTTCGGCAGAGAAGAAAGTGGCTCCTGCTGTTTAGGGACTTGAACGGCCTTTGGGCTGGAAGCCAGTAAGATCGGTTTTGCTCTTCAACCTGCAGGGCAGCAGCAGGGGATTTCTGGGCAGTCAGATTTGTTCTGCCTTGGTTAGTCCCAACAACTCAAAGGCGTGTCGAGGATAAAGGAAGTAGGATGTAGCATGAGGTAATGTTGAGTCAAGATCACATGGTAAATTAGCTGAAGAGCGGGAGGGGCAGCTTAAAAGTGGGAGAAAAGCCATACAGATTTTCTTGCCAGCCCAGCTGACCTCTGATATTCTTAAAGATAGCATGTACATTAGTGATACTTGGAAAATGGTGACCCTTCCCATTTTAGAATAGAAAAGAGCTGTCCAAATGGGGAGGTGGGATGATGCCACTTCAGTCCTGTGGCTCCTTTTGGGAAGCTGCTGGGAAGGGTGGCTGTTTCTTGATTCCAAACAAGGTGGAAATCTTCAGTTGAATCAGCTGCAACATGGATTCCTCCTTGCTGGCCTGTTGTGATGAACCGGGAGAGAGAGAGATGCCTTATATGTGAACTCAGATCCTGAGGAGTGGCTGCGGCACAAGCAGCTTCTCATGAAGGCTTAATTGCTTGAAGCTTGGCTGGTGGCTGGTGATGAGCAGCACCAGCCGCTTGGGCTTACACCTACCTTGGCAGCCTTCATCTCCCGACTGAAGGTCGTCAAAAGGGCAGAGACAAACAGGTTGATGATCACAAACACCATGGAGATGACGCTGGTTACAATCAGCACAGCGCCAAACACTGGGTCCACAGCAATGACCTAAGCATGAAGAGCACAGTTATGTCCCCTGTGCCTACATATGCACTTAGCAGAGAGCTGTTGGCCGTGCTGTGCTTTGCAGGGCACGGGGAAGCATGGCATTCTAGACCCAGAAAGCTGAAATCCATGCAGGTCTCTCTGGGTGCTGAGCTGGGAGCTGAATGGGGCTGGGGGTCTGCTGCTATCTGTGGTGTCCTGGAAGGGCAGCCTAGCAGTGTGCCTCAGCCTAAAGGGGGGCTGCATGGCACTCACCTCTTCATAATTAAAGATTCCAATGAGAAGCCCTACGATGGTCACAGCTGAGTGAAAGAAGGTCTTGTAGTCATCTACGCTCCATCCAAACATGAGGTTGCACTGATGGCAAGAGAGTGAAGGTGATATAGGGGGAGGGGTATAAGGACACAGGAAGTGGGGGTGCTCTTCCCTCCGCCCTTGGTTGGTTTCCCTGCAGTTGGCTGGTCTCTTCTTACCACAATGGCATAACCCACAAGCAGCACCAGAAGTGTGAGCAGGAAGCCCAGGACCTCATCCCAGGCTTTCTGCAGTGTCTGTGTGATGAGGTGCATTCTGGGATTTAGGCGCAGGAGGTTCCACAGCTTGATGGTTGTCAAGGCCACCAGAAAAGCAATGAGGTATGTCAGAGCAGAGTCAACTTCCACCATCTCATAGAAGCTGATGAACCTGCCAGAGGTATGGAGGGAGTTTTGCTTTAGGGTGTGTGAAAGCCGCCTCTGATGAGTGGGGGCCTGCCCCCTGCCCCTTGTTTCGGATGGTAGACACTCACTTCTTGCGGTCTTGGCGATGCTGCTTCAGGATGCCTTCTGCCAGCACGCGCCTCTTCGCATAAAGGCCAATAGCTGCCACACTTATGAGGATGGTGCTGGCATCCAGCAGGTTTCTCTTGCTGCTGAAGTACTTCCACTTCTGCTGCTTCAACTGCCGGCCCTGCTGGCCCCATGGAAGAAGCAGGCTTGACTCAGGCAGCCAAATGTTGGGGGGGGGGGAATGCAAGTGGAAGGAGCAGTGGTGCTGTGATGCTCTTTCTCTGGCAATACAGCAACCTCCACACACCACCACCCTCTAAAACAGCCTTTCTCAACCTTGGGTCCCCAGATGCTTTTGGCCTACAACTCCCATCGTTCCTAGCTAGCAAGGCCAGAGCTCAGGGATGATGGGAGTTATAGTCCAACAACATCTGGGGACCCAAGGTTGACACTGCCCTAAAACAAGGGTGGGATGACACTCCTGCGGCGCTCCAGGTGTTGCTGGAATCCAAATGCCCAACTGCTCTAGGCAGCCAATGGCAATGGTCAGGAATGATGGGAGCCTAGCAGCACCCAGACGGCCCCCGCAGGTTCCACATCTCAGCTCCCCTGAGCTGGTGCTGGCTGATACCTCCCACTAACCGTAGGCACCTTGAAACTGCTGGCTAAAGCTGATGGAAGTTGTAGTCCAGCAATATCCAGAGGGTGCTAGGCTAAGGAAACAAAGCTGCCTTACAGAGGCCCCGCTCACCTGCACAAAGATGTAGTATAGTATGAGCAGGAGAAAAGTGATCTGGGCACAGATAAATTGGAGGACGAGCTGGAGGTCTGGATAGAGGCGCAGAATTTGCAGCTCCGATTTGCTGAACAAGGCGCCTGCCACAGAAACAGGCACAGGGTCAAGCATGGAGGCTGCAAGCAAGGCTGGCTCCCAGGGAGAGGGAACGCCTTTTCTCCTTCTCCCTCCCCAACAGCCCCAGGACAGCCATCCTGCCTCTGAGGCCCATTGCAGGGCTAGGCCCCCTTTGTCTCTACTACACGCTCTTGCCTATCCCATTGGCCTCCAAGATCAGCGTGACTGCGCAGAAGAGGTTGACATTTGCATTGTAGACAACAAACTCAATGAAGACGACTCGTGTGCTTTTGTCCAACCAGTTGTTCCGTTCCAGATAGCGAAGGGTTCTGGTGGGAATGGTGCAGAAAAAAGTTGTATTGTGTATCCACCTTGCAGTGGGAGAGAATTCTAAGGGCTGTACCTAAATCTACTGGCGGCAGGGGAAGAGAAACACAACTCTAGTTTACTATTGCATGCCCTGCCCAGTTGATCAGTTCTCCCCCAAGTACCACCTGCCAGACTTCAGCTAGCGATGCCATATTCACTACTGTTAGCCAGGACTGTGGGTCTTTAGCTTTCACCTACCCTCTCCCACAGCTTCACCAGATCAGGAGATAGTGGGCAGAGACTGAGATACACCTGCCCAGAAAGAGCCCCTGGATCTTTCGGGACCTGATGCCTGTTCTGCAGCTCCCTCAGTCCACATACCTCCAGGCGTAGCTTTTGTTTCTGCCAAGGTTTGCCAGGTAGCCGCTTCCCGGATAGAGAGCAAACTTCCCCCAGATGGGGTACTCTTGCAGCGTGCTCTCATTCTGGAAGACCCAGGCACTCGCCTGACCTCTCCCACCTGCAGCAGGAGGCCCCCAGCTGGCCGTGGGACCCTGCTTTCCCTCTTGGAGTGGGAGAAAAGCTGGCCCTGGCTTTGGCGGGGCTCCTGTGGCTCGGATCTGCCGTAGCCGCACGCTGCCCACAAGGAAAGAGTTTCCATCCATGGCCAAACCTGGGAGATTGAGAGAGGGGAGAAATGTGCTGCTTAGAAGCAAAACACACAGATGCACACCTGTTTGTACAGATGTGAAAAGCTGGGTAAATTTCAGGTTTCAGCTTTGGCAACACTGAAAAAGCCTAAAGAGGCCATGTTTTTATAATTTATACAATGTGTGCCGCTGGGGCCACTGCCCGGCACACCTTCCCTCTCTTGAGGCTTCTGCCTTGAGCCTTCCCCACAATCCCTCCCATTGCAGTGAGTGAGCAGCAAAAAGAGACTTCCAGGCAGCGGCCCTGAGCAAGGGAAGGCACACTATTTCAATTTATTCAGTCATTCGTTTTGTGGTGACCCGCATAAAAGCAGTCACACACAAGTAGAATGCCCATAAGCAGAGGGCTGCCTGTATACAGAAGGATGGCTCTTTTATCTCTGTTCCTTGTGCTGCTCACCTTCAGAATTGCCATGGAGGCCAGGCAGCAAAATCACCCTGATCCACCCATACAACTCCTCTGGGGTAAGGATGTCTTCCAGGTGGGATGTGAAGGTCCTCTGGAGGGAGTTGTTAAAGTAGAACTCATTGGGGCTTCTCTCAGTATAGCTGAGGACCATCAGCACAGCCAGGAACACAAGCTGCACTGGGTGTCAGAAAAGGGAAGTGGATCGAAACAGTTTGTCCTGTTGGATTTTGCATCCCTACAGCCAGACGACGTGGGGGGAACAACCTCACAGGCCAAATTATAATCCCATCCAGATCTAAGCAACCCACCCGCTTGCAGGTATGATCAGGCGTAGCTAGCTGCTCCGGCACCCGGAGCAGCGGGAGCGGGGGGCACTGCCCATGGGGGCGCCGTGGTGATCCGCCTGGGGGGTGGCGTGGTGATCTGCCCATGGAGTCCGTTTTGGGCAGCTCAGGGCCCTGAGCCCACTGCATCACTCCCAGGAGAGACGCATGGCTTGGGCGCGCTGCAGGCCAGGCCCCACGGTAAGCGCCACCCTCCCGCGGTGTGCCATTTTGTCATCCCCTCAGGAATGACACGGGGCAGACCGCACTGCACCCCCCGCACACACACCCCTTTCTACGCCCTTGGGTATGATGTTCCCTGCTGGTGGTTTAAATTTTGCAAATTACATCTGAAGATTTGTCCTGAGCAGATTCTGCACCTACTGAGTTATGTATGGTTTATAGCATTGGTTCCCAATTAGCTAATTTCAGTGGTACCTCGGATTAAGAACTTAATTTGTTCCAGAGGTCCGTTCTTAGCCTGAAACTGTTCTTAACCTGAGGTACCACTTTAGCTAATGGAGCCTCCCACTGCCGCTGCGTGATTTCTGTTCTCATCCTGAAGCAAAGTTCTTAACCTGAGGTACTATTTATGGGTTAGTGCAGGGGTCTGCAACCCGCAGCTCCGGAGCCGCATGTGGCTCTTTTACACCTTTGCCGCGGCTCCGGGGCAGATACTAGCGAGGGGAGGAGGCGCAATGGTTTTGCGGCTCCCAGGTTTTTTTTCCTTTGGAAACGGGTCCAAGTGGCTCTTTTTGTCTTAAAGGTTGCAGACCCCTGGCCTTGGTGGTCTCCACAGCAGAGGCCTGAAAGGAATTTTGCCCACAGACTGCTTGAGCAGTGTTTGTCCCCTTTGGTATGTGGCAAGTCATGCTTGCTTGAATCCTATTAAATCCTGTGATGCAGTGGTCAGAGTGTTAGACCAGGACCTGAGAGGCTGGGGTTCAATTCCCCAATCAGCCATGAAACTCACAGGGTGACTTTGGGCCAGTAAGCACCTAGCCTAGCCTACCTCACAGGGCTGTGAAATGGAGAGAGGGAAAAACATGGACACCACCTTGAGCTCCTTAAAGGAAAGATGGGACATAAATGTAGTAGTAGTAGTAGTAATAATAATAATAATAATAATAATAATAATAATAATAATAATAGTAATGTTTGATCTGTGGATGGCTTGTCCATGGCTTTCTCCTAGGGCAGGGGTCTGCAACCCGCGGCTCCGGAGCCGCATGTGGCTCTTTTACACCTTTGCCGCAGCTCCGGGGCAGATACTAGCGAGGGGAGGAGGCGCATTGTGCGCCCCGAGACTCCCCACTGTGGCAGGCGTTGTACTGGCTGTGACGTCGCATGGGGGCGGTGCGTGCATTAGTCATGCACCGTCCTGACGTCACCTTCCCGCCCGCTGTCAGATCGCGGCTCCGCAGATATATTTCATTTTAAATGTCGCAATGGTTTTGCGGCTCCCAGTTTTTTTCCCCTTCGGAAACGGGTCCAAGTGGCTCTTTTTGTCTTAAAGGTTGCAGACCCCTGGGTTAGTGGATTCTGTAACCTGAAGCGCCTGTAACCTGAAGCATCTGCAACCCGAGGTAACACTGTACTGAGGACCCCCTATTTTTCAAAAAGGCAAGCCATGGACCCCCTACTTTTGAAAAATTTGCTAACTCTATGGTAGTTACCTGTGCAAAGCAATTTTTTTATGAAAATGTAAGGTAAGCCCAATGTTCTGACATGGTATGTGGCAGTTTCTTCCTGTGTTCCTAGAGGCGACTGCCGCTCCCACCATTCTGGCCTTGGCCTCGGTATCATTCTCTGTCTTGCTTGCTTCCTTAACCACTGATGCTTAGGAGTGTGAATGCTGAGCATATTTCACCCCTGCTTGGTGTGGGGAGGGAGCAGGAAGTGTTGCACAACCCATCCACACCCTTACTGGCCTTCGTGCCTGGTCTTACCTGCAATCTCTCTGATCAAGGAGTACAACTTCTTGTCTTTCAAGGCTCGTTCCTTTGGCCGCACCATTGGCTGGAGGGCAGGGGGTCTGTAAGCTGGGTCTGCCCAGTCTCTCTGCCCATAAGCTTCCAGTTGTAGGCCCCTTGCTAGAGGGAGAGGAAAGCTGGAGTCAGTCCCAAGCAAGAGGAAAAAGGCCCTCTTTGGTCAGATCCACTCAGGCAGATGCCCTATCGAGCACTGCAGATGGAGGCGCAGGGAGGGGGGTTTGGAGAGCTTGAATTACCTGTGACAAGGCCCAGGGCCCACCAGAGCTGCTGCTCCTGCCCCTTCTCCTTCCACAACTCCCTCTTGTGCAGCAGTGAGAAGAGGAAGGTCAGAGCCAACACCTGGGAAGGAGAGAGAACAGGGTTGCCATTGGGGAGCCCCACAGGGCAGGTGTCTGGGGCCCCTCTTAGCAGAATATGCAGGAGGGGCCCCACCACAAATGGAATGGTTAGTAACATTACACACATTACCAGTGCGGATTGGGGGAGAGATGGACAAGCATTAAACCCAGAGTCTAGACTTATGTGGGGTCTGAGGATCCTTGCAGACCTCTGACCTTGCTGTGTTGCTGCAGAATCACAGAACACCAAAGACATTTGTAGAGGCAGGGAGAAGAGGGGAGATGCTGGCTCTGGCAAGGGTGTGGGAGAGGTTAGCTGAACCCCAGATAGGGCCAAGTTACCTTCAGGGGCTGCATTACAAAGATGTTCTGTAGCACTGAGAGCAGGATGTTGACGGCCCAGTGCCCAGCCTCGTCCCTGCTCATTTCTAGGCTGTAGAGCACTGTGAAGAAGGCCGAAACCAGGCTGATGCTCCCCACTGTGAGCCAGCAGGCAAAGCTGAATCTCCTGGGGAGACAGTGGGAGAACGGCGGCCTCTCCTTCTCAGGGTCTTCAAGTGGGAAACTGCTGAGCTCGCTCCTGGGCCCGGTGGGACTGAGACACAGAGACAGGAGAATAAATGGCACCTCAGCCTTTGGGAACACCAGTGGAGGGAGGGAACTGTGCAGTAGGGAGGGCAAATGTCCCACAGACCAAGCAGAAAAAGCAATAGGCAGTTAAGAAGGGAAAACTGGGTGGGCTGGGGAAACTGGCTGGCTTTGGGTCTGAGTGTGACACGGGACCAGACGCAGAGTCCTCTGAAGATGAACCAGATACCCTATAGATCCAGGGGCCCTCCAGGTTAGTACCTGATGAAAAACCCCTGGAACTGTCAGAAAAGGGGGTGGAACAGCTCCCCCTGCCAGTCTCTGGAATCAGAGGCAGCAGTCTGCTTGTGAGGAAGCAGGAAGCAGTCAGTGGCTGTGGATGAGTGTAGTTTAGGAGACAAGAGTACCATATAAAGCCTCCTTAGTGAGCCTTCTAGTTGCAGGAAATAATGTAGGTCTCTAGTGCCTTATTTCCTGATTCTCATCGCCCTGCATTGTACCTTGCCTGAACTCTACTGCGGTGGTGCCCTTGGACTGTTGCCTCACTGTTTCTGGGTCACATTTGAACACTCTGCTGCATATGCGACCCCCATTCCTCACTGGTGAGTCCTGGGGGGGGGGCAGCTTCTATCTCCTGTAACTGCGACCTGCCTCCTTGCCCAGTCCCTGAAGGCATTCCCTGGAGTGTGAAGACATCTGGTTAGTTTCTTCCTGCAAGCTATTTCATGGAAGGAACTTTGACCTTAGCTAGGTGTGCTTCTTTGTATACATATGTAGGGTGTGTACAGTAGATGCCACACAGCAGCTTACAAATGAGTATCTTGTTCCCAAAGTATTATTTTGGGTTTGGAGCAATCTCTGCAAAATGTTACCAGGAAATGGGGCCAGGAGAGTGGGGAAGAGATAGATGAGGGGAGCTTCCGAATGGGGGCTACCTGCCAGGCCCCTCAGTGCTGGGCCAGGGCTGCGCCTGCTGCTGCTCTAGGTGCTGCTGGACTCTCCGTAGTTGGTCCACTGCATGCAGATGGTCATAGGGGTTAGGAAAGCTGCACAAATCCAGGCTGCTGAGCTGAGTCCCCAAGTCATCCAGCACATGGCTCAGGTAGCTGTGGAGGTTGAAGCGCCTCTCTGGAAACAAGTACAAAGAGGCATCACTCTCACCCTACAGAGCCTTAATTCCCCCTCCTCTTTCCAATTGAGTCAAGGGTTGCTCAGCTCCCCAAAGGTACAAACTGGTGCACAGAGCATGAGGAAGGGTGGCACACTCTCTGTCTGAGAGGAAGGGAGTGGTGTTCGCATCCGTTGCCAAGACAAGCTACTCTTACCCTGAGGGGGACCTTCCAGGTCCTTCTGGTGCTGGAGGTGGGACTCAATGAGGTCACACAGAGCAGCCACAAGCTCTGGTACTTGCTCAGAAGTCCCAGGGAACTTGTCCATGGCTCTGCACTGGCAGAGGCTGTTCTTGTAGAGGAAGCCCAGGGTCTCCTCCAGCTCCTGCAATGGAGAGAGCAGGGCAAGAGTGCCAAGCACCTATCAGGGCAGAGGCTGGTGCTGGGAGACTGACCGCTCAGGACCTCTTGCTGACTGGAGGGACTTGTGAGGAGGGGGTCTCACCTGCTTGACTCGTGTGAGGGGCATCACCTGCTTGGGGGGCATCACAGTCTGCAGGAGTTCAGGGCTGGCAGCCGGAGGCTTTGGGGCTGGGGGCTGGACCAGCTGGAAGATGTGGCTGATCAGTAGGCTCACTGGCATTAGGAAGATGGCTGTTTCCACACTCACCAGCAGCTCGTGCCAAGTCACCATAAAAGGCCCTGTCTCGGGAGTGGGGGGGGCAGAGGAGGGGCAGACAGAGACCTTCAGTCAGGAGGAGGGGGTGGCTGAAAGGATCACTGCTGTGGCTGAGGCAGTTTCGATGCCAAAAATGCTGGGCGGGGCCCAGAGGGGGACTCCCAGCTCCATTGTGAAGCTTAGAATCCTCATTGCTACTTAGAGACATGCAAGCCCTATGCATGGAAGGTGGAGCATGGGGACAGGAGCACAAATACAGGACCCTTTAGGGCTCTGCCTTGGGGGCTGTGAGCCATGGCAAGTGGTGGGAAGTCAGCCTCTTCCCTACCCCACCCACTCACCTGCCCCCAGCCCAGCGCCCACCTGCATCATGTTGGGGCAGGGGACAAGGAAAGGCACTGGCTATGCTAGTCTCCAGCTGGCAGCCGACTCACCAGCCTCAGGGCTTCTGGACCCAGCCTCTTTTCTCCAGAACATGATGTTGATGAGGAAGGTGCAGCAGAGGAGGGCCAGGCAGCAGGAGAGCCTCTGGACACGGGTGAAGGGGCTCCAGGGCGAGCAGGTCACCACCGACAGCCACAGGTGCTCCTGCGTCAATTTGTCCACCAGCCCTGACCAGAACTGGTACCTGGTGAAGTGGGATAAGGGATGTATTTGGTGGGGGCTGAGCCAGAGAGGGTCGAGGGCCAGGAGCAGGGTGGGACCTTTCCTGCTGCACATAATTTCTGAATGGAGAGGAGCTGGAAGCTGCATCACACTCTCTGACCTGGAAGGAAGACCCAACTCCCAGATGGGTGGGAGAGAAAGGCCCGCCCTCTCTGTGTATAGTCAAAGGAACTTTCTTCACTGGGTCTGAGATTTGTCATTCCAAGCAGATTCTGGGACAAAGCCTGCCATTCCCTGACTTTTATTTTTTGATGTCTGCATATTGCTTTTTCACACAGGTGTTCTTAGCATAATTCAGTCAAAGGCAAGGTACCTGTTGGGTAGATCAGGGGCAGAAAAACCCCAAGGGCAAAAACACATTCCAGAGATGCCACAAACTGGCAGGAGGTGGGTGGGTGGGGCTCATATTTACCTGAAGGACAGGAGATCCCTCTCGGAGGCAGCAGCAAAGACTTTATCCACATGGCCGTCATCCAGGTCAGCTGCCAGCCAAGAGTCACACAGGAAATGCCACTTCTTCTTGGCAGGCAGGTCACAGACAACCAGCCGCCTCACAAACCTGCAGGAGGCTCAGGCCTTTCAGTCGTTTGCCCACACATGGGTGGCACTGCCAAGCAGTCATGTGGTGCCCATTAGCTGCAGCCAAGGGATCTGCCCCCACTCCCCCATCACTCAAGAGCTGCAGGTTAAAGGGAAGCAGTGGGGATCTTTTCCTTCTGCCCTCATCACCTTGCCAAAGCAGAGAGCTGCATGTGGCTTCCTTCAAGCACAAGGGAAGCTCTGCTCCAAGTTAACCTATACATAAAGCGTTATTTGCCCAGTAGCTTTGGGAAAAGACTGGAGATGGAAGCGTATTCCCTCCCTGATGTATCCTTTATGTTTGGGGGTTCAGACCAAAGGTGGGTCATATGCATTATTTGACATGACAATGTGGCCTCTGGAGCCAAAGCTGGCCTTTAACATGGTGAGCATGAACCTTGGGTGGGACAAGACATGCCACAGTTCCATCGTCCCCCTGGAATGTCCAACTGACCTGATGCTAGTTTTGCTACAGTTGGACAGGGGGGATCTTGTGAATTTCTTCAGCATAGGCTCGAAAGGAGGTATCTTTGAGGACCTGGGAATTCTGCATGTGTCCAGGCCCTGGCAGCACAACCCCATGGCATGGGAGGACTAGGTATGCCAGCTGCAGTGTCCCTTCGCCTACTAGCATCTGATAAGGTCTGGTGCTGCCAATGGACTCTCCCATGCCAGTCGTGTGCCTCCTCCTTGCCTGGCATCCCAGTTGCTGTCTGGTTCACTCTAACCCACCCTCTTGGCCCACCCTCAGCCCTCGCTGGGCCATGGACTTACCAGCTGGGGTTGGGCCCAGTGCTGTCGTGCCAGAGGCGGATGGCGTGGAGGTTGCCCAGGGACTTCTGAGTGGCAAGGAGGAAGGCATCCCGCCCACCTCGCTCAAAGGAGGGCCCCTGGGGGTGCTGTAGCAGGTGTGGCTCACTCCGGCCCTCTGCCCCATAGAGGGTCAGGATAACCTCAAGCCAAGGAGGGAGAAAGGTTCAATCAAGGAAAGGGAAAAGAGGGCGGATGCTGGGTGGGGTTCATGGATTGCTTCCTTTCCTCAGTTCCTTGCCCAAGCAGGGAGCACATGAAGGCTGTCATCAAAGACAGGCTTTTGCATGCAGCCAGTCACACAGAAGCCTGCACCCCACACACCCACTCCCCAATAGGGAGAGATCTGCCAGACTCGGCCCAGATTCTGTGGGCAGGTGCCCGAGGTCATGGAACTTGATGGGCAGCACTTGTACCATCGACAGTACAAAGTGGGCCTGCAGGGAAGTAAGACCCTCCCCTACCTTAGCAGAGGTCCCAGCCCCTCGGCGGTAGCCTGTGAAGACTTGCACCAGGTAAGGGAAGCAGGCGGTGGCCTCATTATCTGCTAGGATTGTGACCTTCACCTGGAGGGGGGAGAGACACACATGGGGTGGGTGGCCCTAGAAATGGCCAAGCCCCACTTCAGCAAGTCGGCTTTTCCAGGGTGTCTGGCTCTCAGCTGTTTGCTGAATAAATATCTCATACCCTAAAAAGACGGTGTAAAATGTCTTCTCTCATGACCCGTTTGCATTTCCAATGAAAAACTTCCATTGTTCCTCATTTCAGCACATCAGACAAGAAGGGCCTGAATGAGGGCAGATGGGGGGTGGGTGTCTCTGGCCTGCAAATGCTAATAATCCCAAACCACCATCATAAATCTTTTGCTTGCCCTTTCCCCTCACCTTCTTAACATCCGTTCTCTGTCTCCATCGAGCCCAAACGAGGGCAGCTCCATAGCCCAGCAACAAGCTGCTTAGCAAGGCCAGCCCAGAAGGGTTCTGGCCCACGGTGCTCAGGAGCTTTGCAGTGTTGTGAAGGTCAATCAGGTGTGGCAGGACCAAGGCGACACACCCAAAGAAGGTGAGGTGGTTGCACAAGCACTGGGTGCTGTGGAGGGTGCTTTGGGAGCCCACCTGGGAGGGAAGCACTGATGCATTAGAAACCAACATTGGAGGATGAGGTCCCAATAGTTCTGCTCCATTTGGTTCCCCATGACATTCCGCCCTACGTTTTTTTTCTCCCAGCATGGAAGCAAAGGCTTGCTTGCCTGTCCTGCAGCCCTCTGGCCTGGTTGACCCTACTGCATACCCGACATCCATCACTTCTCCAGGCCTGATGCTGGCTGGACCAGTAGTAGCATCCAGAGATGATGGTGTGAATGGAGAGGTTCCAGGGGCCCTGAGAGAGGGGAGCCACCTCTGCAGAGATGTAGTAGGTGCCCAGGCCATGATGCTGCAGCTCCTCTGGAGGAATCACCCATGTGCAGGTACCCTCTGAAGCAAGAGCAGTGAGTCAAAGAGAGCAGAGAGGGACCACACCCACTGACCTCACCCACACCTTCCCCCACTGGGGGACACAGTCCTGCCTGGCCCCAGCTCCTCAAGCCCCTCCCTCTGTGCCTACTCCCAGGTGCACAGATTTAAATCAAAGTGGTTTGGTCAATTATGTAAATGAAGAAACGGGCTGATTTAACTAAGCGATTTAAATCAAATTTCCCATTGATGTTTCCCACAGTGCAAATCTGACCACTACACCATGTTAATTTGCAATTAAATGAATTGAATGGGCAATTAAATAATTGAAACACAGCTGATTCAATCTGTATACTTTTGCAACTTTCCCTTTTTATTTATAGAGGTAAATTGTTCCCATATAGCAGGCTTCCTCAAACTCAGCCCTCCAGATGTTTTTGGCCTACAACTCCCATGATCCCTAGCTAGCAGGACCAGTGGTCAGGGATGATGGGAATTGTAGTCTCAAAACATCTGGAGGGCCGAGTTTGAGGAAGCCTGCCATACAGGTCATGTCTTATGGCTGAAACCCAGAACAGCCGGTGAAGTTAACACCTCAAAGCTATGCCCACTTACCTGAGAGTTACCTCACTGAACTCCAATGAGACTTACTTTTAAGGGGATACATGCAGCATTGTGTTGTATGTATGAGCATAAGAAGAACCTGCTGCATCAGGCCAATGGCCATTCTAGTCCAGCACTATTCTCCTAGAGGTCAGTCAGATGCTCCAATAGGAAGTCCCAAAGCAGCACCTGCCCTCTAGCTTCCTTCTAACAAGTCCTCACCCTCTTGCCATCCGCTGCTGGGCAGGGTGGTGTTGAGGAGGCTGCTGTTCTTGTTGGGCTCAGGTTGGAGGCCCAGGTGCAAGGTGATCTGGACCACTGTGCTGGATTCCACCGATACTAGCAGGGCATCCTCTACTGATGTGATGTTTACCACAATGTCAAAGTTCCTGACGTTGCCAGTCAAGTGAGTGTGAGGGGCCTCAGCACTAGCCTCAGCACTGAGCCCAATCTGGAAGCAGACAGAATGCCTATGGTCAGCCCTGCAGTCCGTCCGTCCCCCCACTGGTCCTTGAGCACATATTGTCTCCCATCAGGCCATACAGCACAAAGTGCTTATCTCTGATCCAGAGCTGGACCTTGGACAGCGCTGCTTCTCCATGCCACTTGGGTGCTGAGAGAAGAGTCCCCCTGATGAGAGAACTTTCCCAGTACAGTATCCATTCTCACCTCTATTTCCTCTGCAAGATTGTGGACACCGATGGACTCTTCGCTGGCCATGAGAGCGATACTTGCCGTCCTTTTGATCGGCTTCCCATCCAGGTGCCGGAAAGGATTGAATGCAAAGGAGGCCACCTAGAGTGAAGATGAGAGCAAGAGCGAGCTGTGGGGGTGCCCTCTGCCCCACCTCCACGCCCTGCCAGCCCTGCACTATGTCCCCCTACAAGGACCCAGTGGACAGCAAGCCACTACCACCTTACCTGGACTTGTACTTGAGGGTGCTGGCTCAGAACTGGCTCCAGAGCAGAGCTGGATGGGAAGGTTACGTTCAGGCCCCTTGGCTGAAGCAGGTGGAAGGAGGCATGGGGCAGGGAGGCTTTGTCACACCTGGTAGGGAGTGGGGAGAGGGGTTACTGTTGAAAGTTTGAGTGCAACTCCGTTTTCAGAAGAGGGGTCTTGCGTAGGTTAGGACAGATAGAACAGAGTTCGAGACCTCCAGATTCCCAGACTACCTTTGTGTCATTAACCTCTTCAGCTCACCTCTCTATCTCTTTTGATATTCTCAGGCTGCACTCTGTTTCACAACTTCCTGCTCCTCTCACATTTCTCTCTCCAAGAAGAATTCTCCTCTGAGATAAGACAGGAGCCAGCATGGCTACCATGCTCTAGTACAGACTTGTTAGGCTAGAACTTGGAACTTTTCTATCCAACTATGTGGTTAGAGTGCGAGACATGGACGTGGGAGACCAGGGTTCAAATCCCCTCTCAGCCATGAAACCCAATGGGTGACTTTGGGCCAGTCACTATCTCTCATCCCCAACCTACCTCGCAGGGTTGTTATGAGAATAAGATGGAAAAAAGGAGAAGTCTGTGAGCTATCCTGAGCTTTTTGGAGAAAAAAGTGGGTTATAAATGTAGTAATAATTTTAAAAATAATGTAATAGACTCCTTTATTATTTATCTTAACTACAAACATCCCTGTGTGTGAGATTGTAACTCATAAAAGTCTGTCCCCTAACCAAGATGCATTCTCTGAACAATGTCTTACTCTGCGTACCAAAAGGATTCCAATAGGTAATTGGCAACCAAACAATTCATTCAGTTCCCCAGCTGCCCTGAGCAAGCACCCCCCCCTTCTTCAGTGCCTAGGAGAGAGGAGACTGGTACCTGCTGAGGGTGGTGCTGAGCACAGAAGACACCACAGTTACTGTGGATTCCTCCATGGTGGAGCTTCCCAACAGGAGCCCCGTCTGGATCAGAGGAAGGGCTTCCAATGCTGTTTCCAGGACCTTTGGTTCCTGCTGCAGAAAGGCCAGGTGTGGTCAGGAGCTGGGCAGAGCCAGGGTGGGGAGCCGGGAAGCTCAGCTCCCTTCCCATGGGCTCAGAGCAATGGGAAGGCCTGGACAAAAGGGGGTGCCTTCAGAATGAGACCCAGCCATGCAGCAGGCCTGAGCTGGCAACCCCATCCTTCTGCTGGCCTAGGAAAGAGTGAAGGAGGAAGGAGCAGGTCAGAATAGCTTCCTCCACCCGACCCCTGCAGGTCCTCTTTCTCCCCCACCTGTTGCGGGCCGAAGCTGGGTGTCTGGCTGCCTGAGGCTTGGAGGAGGTTGCTGAGGGTCTGGAAAAGAGCCTGTGATGCGAGGTCTAGGCAGGAGGCATTGCTGGCAGGGTGGTCCCTCAGTAGCTGAGAGCTCAGGGAGAGGAGTGCCTGGCTGGCAGAGGCCTGTAGGAACAAGGCAGGGCTGGTCATCTGGCGGGGCTGATTTGGGGGTGCAAGGGTGAGGCTGGCTGTGCCAAGCGGCAGGCTTGCCTCTGTACATAGCCTGGGTAGAGCCTGGTTCAACCAAGGACTGGGAGAATAGGCCGCAGGGGACAGACCCTTAGATCAGGGGTGCCACCCACCCACCCACCCACCCTCCCTGCCACATGCCAGTACCTGGGCATCGTCTGAGAGCAGAGCATGGAAATTTGTCAAATTCTCCAGCATCCGGGCTGCCTGCTCCAGTGCAATAGGGTGGCCTGGGGTCTGCACAGCCTGGCTGAACTGGTGCAGCACCTTCTCTAGGGCCTGTGGGACAGACCCTGAGTGAGAGGGGCTGGGGGAGAAGGGGGCCTGGTTGCCCTACTACGCTGTCAGTAAGCCTGCAAGTAGAGCTTATCGCTAAATCTCTAATTCTAGGAAGGCTACTCTACCCTATAGGGGGAAGACCTGAAAAGGAGGCTAGGCGGGAGGGAGCCACACATCCCCCCACACCTCCCCAGAGCCACTTGCCCCCCTTTCTGCTGTGGGCAAAACCAGTCTGGAAATCACTCACTAAGTGACTTTGGATCCCTGGGAAATCACATAGGAGTCACACTCATCTTTGATCTGCACCTCAGCGTTGATTTTTCCAGGTGCAAAGGAAGAATCCTGCAACGCACACCCCACCCCCACCTGGCATCTCCGGAGCAGGGTGTGGGGTATGGGACGGAGAGAGAGGAGAGCCTGTCTGGACAAGGTGCCACCAGGGTGGGGGCAGGTGCCAGTCCAGATGTCTCCCTACCTTCCCCTGGTCCTCAGGGGGGAAGTCTCTAGGGCTGAAGGTGAAGGAGTCCGGGCTGGTGTTGGACTTGTGGCTTTTGGTACCCCCCAAGGTGGTTTTGCTGGTGGGCAGCGGCTGAGTGCTGGGCTCTGGGGCTGAGGTCCGAGAGTTGGGGTGAGTCTGGCTGCTGTTGCTGGCTGGCCAGGTGCTGGATGCCGACTTGGGGCTGCTCGGCGGATGGCGGGGAGTGCCGAGTTCTGGCCTGGTCCCAAGGAATGACTGGGTGTCAGCGGTGGTCGGCTGGCGAACTGTGCTGCTTCCTGGAGGAGCACTGGGCGGCGGAGGAGTCGCGGCGGAGGGCTGGGCGCTCAGAGGAGCAGTCGCCGTCGGCTCTTCGGTGAGAATGGGCGTCGCCTCCGTCGGGCCGCACGTCAAATGCTGGCAGGTCGTTCTCTGGGAGACAGGGAGAGAGAGTCACCAGGGCCGGCTGCTCGGTGGTGCGCTGCAGTCAGCCCAGGGGGCGCTGCGCAGCGACGGCGGCCTAGAGAGCCTTCGCCCGTTCCTGTTCGACGGCTGCGCAGGCACCTGCTTTGGCGGGAACTTACCACCCAGGGCGTGGAAGTCTCTCGGGGCGTCCTCGAGGGGCCTGTAGCGGACAGAGAGCAGAAGGGGTTGAGCTCGGGAGGATTCGTGGAAGCGGCGCTTCCGGGGCGGCAGGGATGGTTCTAGGACCTGCGACGGCCCAGCCCAGCCGCCTCCGGGGTTGCAGCCACCTCGAAAGGGCGTGCTTCGTGGGGGGGGGGGTGCTCCCAGAGGCGTGCTTCCAGAGAGTCTCATCCTCAGCTCAGCCACGAGGTCCTTCTCGCTCTTTGAAGCTGGAGGCCGCGAACGAGGCCGTGAATGAGGGCGCGAACTCCCATCCCGGGGGGGGGGGGCGGGCAGACTCACGCACCAGACTGGCAGATGAAAAAGTGCTTCTGGTCACACTCCTCCCTCCTGGTATAGAATTGGTCCCCATTCCGGACGAGGATTTTGCAGTGGTCTGCGGAGAGTAGGCGCCGCCGTCAGACACGGTTATCCCTCTTCCCCGCCACCCCACACTCAGCACCAGCCCGCCAGTTGTTTGCCTTTGAGGGATTTTCTTAGGATAAGGCTTTCCGGCTGAGGCTGCCCTGTAGGGCTCCGCTCCCTCTCCAGACGAGAGTCTCCCAGTGGTGGCAAGTGGTTTAAGGGGAGCCTTTGCATAGGGTGAGTGCCTGGTAGCAAACCCTCGGACAGCCTTGCATTATTATTATTTTTAACCCTCCCCACTCCTTGACTGCCTGTCACAGACTGCAGAGCTGAGCCATCAGCAGCGGGGGCATGGGGGGGTTGCCACCCTGAGTGTCCTTGAAACGCTGGTGGGCGGGGTCCCTCGACGGAGAGAAGGGTCTGCAGGGCCTGGCTGGGCCCTTGAAGTGAGAAGCTTGGCTGCCCCGCCTCGATCCCCACGAGGAGACGGTGGTCCCACCTTGTGTAGGGAGGGTGGCGGTCTTGCCCTGAGGGGTTTGGCGTCTGGGCGAGTCAGAGATGCTGAGTGGGGAATAACACACATCCCGGGAGAGTATACTGGAATTGGCTGCTGCTGCCCCTCTTCTGCGGTGCTGCTGTTGGGCCTCTGCGCCCCCGCCCCGCTCTCACCTTTGCCAGGGTGGCTCACTTCTGGGAGCGCCTTTGCTGCAGCCCCGATCCAGGTTTTGCTCCTGTCGTCCAGGCGGTCGCGCAGGGCGTCCTGGATCTGCTGGTTCCACGTGTGGAGGAGCCGGCCGTGGGATCGTCCGCACCAAATCACTGCACCCAAGGCGGGTTGTGGCCGCCGGAGCAGCCGATAGCAGTCCTCTCCTGCCACAGGCAGGCAGGCGGGCTCCGATTCCTCCGAAGAGACCTGTGCGACCCAGAGCCAGAGCCACATCCCTATAGGGATCCCCATGCCGCTCCCTCTTTGGAGCAAGCTGGCCCGGGGCCACCCCTTTAATAGTCTAAACCGCCGCCCCCCCCCACACCGTGCACGCTCAGCCCACGAACTGTGAAAGCAGGTGGGGGAGCTGCTGAAAAGAGGAGCAGAGCAGCGCCACACCCAGAGGCTGAACAGGTGCAGCACCTGGCGCTCCAGCTGGAGATGGGCCCTCTTGTTTGCAAAGAAGAGGGTGCCATTGTCTGCACCCCTGCGAGGAAGAAAGGAGGAGCAACTGCATTGTCTGCTGCATAAAAGGCACGCTGGCAGGCAAATGTTGAGAGCCCAGGTGGCACATCCCATTCCTCTTGCTCCAAAGAACAGTATGATAACCAAGCAGTTTGGGTGACAAGAAATGGGATTTCAAGGGGTTGGGGAGTGGGGCAGACAGGAAGGTGGCAGACTCCCCTTCATTAGAGGTTTCTAAACGGAGGCGAAGGGACCCTCCTTCCAGGGAGGTTGTGCTAGTGGGATTCCTCAGGAGGTAGGAGTAGATGACCCTCACAGTCCCTTCCAACACTACAGTTCTATGATTCTTCTGGACAAGTGCTGGCGAGTCTTCAGCCAGCCACATGAGGTTTTACAATTTACTGCATGTCACTGCCAGGGGGCCACCATGGCGTTTGAAGTGGGAATGGGTGTCTGGATCTGGGCCTGGGCCCCTGAGAAGCCAATCATGAAGTCCTCAGAGAGTGAAAGAGAGCTTCCACGGACACCACTGAACTGTAGCCTGCCATTTATTCGGTGTGGGCCGCGCCTAGTGCTGAATCACTTTGCAAGATAGCACACAGCACACATGGACTTCTTACTGGGGAGAGGAGGCTTGCCTTCATTGCAATCACACACACTTAAAATTGGAATATAATAAAGCTCCATTTATTATAAGAAATATATACTTGGATAGAAAAGAGTTCCTAGTTTTAGCTAATTAATCTTAAAGCTACAAGGGAGTCATGCTTGCTCTTTACTCTCGGCAGAGATACATCCATAGATGTCCTCTCTCCTTCAGCTTCAGAAGGAAGAGGGGGAAGCAGGAAGTTTGGTCACTGTCAGGAACACTAAGAATATCAGTCTAATAGTAAAGGAAAGGTCATCACAGAGATCAAAGTGCAGTTAGACAATCTTGGAGGTTCCCTTCTCTATCCACTTTAACCTCATGCAAACCCTCAGCAAGCTGAGTTGCATCCCAACTCTTTCAACACTCGGTGAGTTCAGGGTTGGCTCCATTGGCAGGTTACAGAATGGGACTTTGCTGTCCCCCTCCCATGCTGTGCCTTCTCGTTCCTCCAGAGAGATGGTCCTGGCCTTTGTACAGGTGTGGGTGACATCATGTTGGAGAGGCTGATTGGAGGTCTTGGGCACATGGCGTGGCAAAAGCCAAGGTGGCCTCGCAGAAAGTTGTCCTCCCATCACTGGAAAGAGCACAGCCTGCAATCACAGAGGTCGAAGACGTGGGTCAGGATGGGGCCCTAGGACTGCTTCCCAGCATATTTTCTACTCCCTTGGCCCCAGTCCTGGAGCTGCAGTGTCCCTTAGGATGGTTAAATTACTGGTAACCTAATATGTCTGCTCTAGTCTGACTGGCAGTGGCGTTTCAAGGCCACGAGCAAAGAGAGACTACTCGAGATCTTTTCAATGGGGAGTGTCAAGAGTTAGGAAGGCAGGGGGCCTGCAAAGCAGCTGCTCTGCCACTGGGTGGTGACTCCTCTCCACCCCCACTGTGCACATGCCAGTCACTACCTTTTAGTCCCTCCCCAATCTTCTCCCCTTCCACAGGGGACAGTCCCAGTCCTGCCCTTGCAGGGGCTTCAGTTCAACGTGTTTCCTTCCTGTTTAGCAAGCCCAGGAGATGCCTCTGCATCCTCTGAGTCTCCCAGAGCGGGCCCTGGGCTACCTGCTCTTGGCAACCAGAGGTGCCCACACCAGCAACTGGATTCCTCCACCAAGCCTGCATGCCTTGCCGGGCCACTCAAAGCAGCAGAGGAATGGTCCAGGTGGGCTCCCAGTCATGCCAATCCAAAGTGGAGAGGCGTGATTCTTCTCTGTGTGTGCATAACCTTCCCTTATGGGAGGTGGAAGAGGGAACAGACGTAGTACTGAAAACCCTTCCTCTTGCCAGGCCACAGTCGTGAAAGGAATTTTTTGAACTTGAGTTTGTTTTCTGCAGTGGGTGCAGGGCATTCTCAGTGCCACCTTTGCCCTTCTCTACTTGGAGGCACTCCAGGCCCCAACCCTCTCTGGGGAAGCCCCTTTCCCTCCTTCAATTCATCCTGCCTCTCAACTTCTGCAAGCCTCCTTCCTCCCTTTACCGGTCTTCCAGGTCCAGGGCTGCCTCATCTTCATCCTCTGCTTTCTTCAGTATCAGGGCACAGAAGATGGCAAAGCTTATCACCTGCAGTGGGTTTCATGGGAGAAGAGGGATGGGCAGGATCCGCAGCCATTTTGCCCCCCCCCCATCCATAAAACAGAGGGAGCATCTGTAGGCTTCCCTTTCTCCAGATGAGCCAAGCCCCTCACTTTGTGCCAAAACACCACAACAAACTGGTGTATGTGTGAGGGTGCTTTGGTTAATTTCTCCCCCACCCCCTTGAAATTCATGGGAAGAAGAGAGGAGATGCAGTGGGTGTTTGCAGTGCTCCAATGCCAGACACCTGTCCCAGGCAGGCAGACAGGCAGGCAGGTGGCAGACACATACTTGAGATGAGGAAGAAGTATGTGCACCGTGATTTCTGCTGCTGCTGCTGAGATGTCCCCTCCCCTATGGGTTGCCAGTTGAGGAGTATCACAGACCCTGAGATTTCAGGGCCCAAACCTGAGACCTAGGGGCTGCCCCTGGTGGTGTCAGGGGCACAGACCCTGGTATAGTCACAAGGGTCCTAGAGACAGAGGTTAATTAGGAGAAGAGTGGAGGTAGTCCCCCAGAGTGTCTATGCTATAATTTGCATCCAGCTCCTGCTGGTCCAAAGTGTACATGCTCTATACACAGTCTTCTGTGTACACACGTACACACACCCACACACCCCACTGAAACTCTCACCCATCTAGCGATTCAAGCCCTTCACCTGCCACCTGGAGGGTACTAGGCAAACCTGAAGACTTCAGATCAGACTTAGAGGTCTGGCAACCTGACCTCCCGTGAGAAGGCCCCCCAGGAATGCTAGGTTTGCTCAGCCTGGCTGGGAAGTACCTTGAGAGGCTGCAGGACGAAGAGAGCCTGGCCCATGGAGATGGCAGTGGAGATGAGCCAGCGTTCGGTGCTCTCCTTGCCATAGTGGAAGCCATAGAGCAAGGAGAAGAAGGTGGCCACTGCGCTGAGGGAGACTAGCAGGGCCCACCCCACCCAGGTGCCCCACCAGGGCAAGTGCCACCTTCGGCTGTGGAGGAACAAGAGGAAGGCATGAGGAAGAGGCTCTGCAGGGTAGGCTTCCCTGCCTGCTCACGGAGCCTGTTTGAGCTACCTACATGGAGCGAGACCGGATGGGGCTTGCTAGCTCAAGACGCCTGGCCATCTCCTCCACGCGCTGCTGCAGAGCCGGAGGGTGCTTGGCTGTCGAGACTGGTTCCAGCTCCCCCAGGAGACGGGAAATGTGCCGTAGCTTCAGGAGGAGGTAGCGGTTGCAGTAGGTCTGGTGCAGCGCATCAGGGCTGGGTGCCACACTGGAGATCTTGGGCTCCCTCCCTGCAAGCAGAAACCACAGTGTCACCATCCTCTGGGAGTCTAGCAGGGCTGCCCAAGGCAGGCAGGCAGGCAGGCATGGCTGGGCTCTCACCTGCTGCCTCCTCTTCCTCCCCAGGATCAGGGTGGATAAAACGAGCCAGCCACTGCAGAAGCTCCTCAAGGTCCATGTCGGGATGTAGCAGCTGTTGGCTCTGCTTGCTGGCTTTGCTCAGCGTCTCCACTGCCCCGCGCAGGCTCTAGGGAGGGAAAGACAAGCATGGGTAGACGGGAGAGTGGCAGGCGACTGAGGCACAAATGCACCCAACAGGCTGAGGGTAAGGTGGGCAAAGCTGGGCACAAGAAGATGTAGCAGATGGGAGAAGTGCTGTGGGAGATTTGCAGCCAAATCTAACAATGCATATTTTTGTGAGTTAGCATGTGAAGGGGTTAAGACCATAGGGTCACATTATTGAAAGACAGACTCGGACCATAGAAATGTCATTGGTAGAGATGGTTCTGTGTGGGGTCATTTCCCCTCCTCTCTTGGGAATGAAGAATCAAGGTATTTCCTGTTCCTTCCCTCTCTCTTTTCTCTTCAACCAGCAATGGAGCAGACATATATCCTATCACTCCAGCATTGGCCACATGCCTCAAGCTGTTCATACTGTAAATATAAGCATTTTGCCTGCATGTATTTTACTTCACAGCATTTTCCTATACTTTCTATTTTTCTGCTGAGGATGAGACTTTGAACTCTGCTCAGCCCTGTGTTTTAAACGAAGCGATAAGCTGATCTCCTTGTATGTTCAACCCACAAATGTGGGCACCTGGAGGGATAAATTACCATTAACATATCCTCTCCTACCTATTAAAAGCCATCCCATAAGTGCCACAGAGAAAAATATCTGGCAAGCCAGTGCTTGTTGTATCTGCAAATGCAAAAATGTCTCCCTGGGACTAAGTTCACTGGTGCAAGAAGGATCCTGGGGGACTTGGGGCTTGGGGGAGAGGTAGCTGGGGATTGGGTGGGGGTTCTTGTCCACTGCCAGCTCAGCCTTGACCTTATTCCAAGGGGAGGCACAATGGGGAAAATGTCCTGGGTCCTGGAGAGCTCTTGTCCCTACCTCATGCACAGTGTCCAGGGTTGTTGGGCTGGCAGGGGCACTGGGCACAGCCGTTGCCAGGCCGGGCTTTGCATGGCTCTTGCGTGGTTCAGCGTGGCGGAAGATGAATACAAGGAGCAAGTTGACGGGGAAAGTAATCAAGGCACTCTCCACACTGATCATGATGTCCTTCCAGGAGAGGGAGAAGCAGCTGC